AAAGAAGTGGAGGGAATATATCCGCCGAGGATATATCTAATTTGCTTTTGTAAAAGCGAATGGAGTATCGGAGGAGGGGGTATGTTTAAAATTAGATATAATATCATGCCAAGAGATAAAGAATTTGAAAAAATATTACAAGAAGCGGAAGACCCTAAGAATATCGGTCAAGGCTCGCAGGCTTTACCTCGCAATGCTACTTCTTTACAAAAGGCTAAATATAAACTTTGCCGGCAACTACTTTCTTATCAAATAAAAAACAAGTTAACCGACCCAGAAATGAGAAAAAAAACCAACTTGTCCCAAACTGAATTAGAAGACATTTTATTCTATCGCCTTGGAAAAGTAAACTCCGAAGTTTTAATCGAAACAGTTAGCCGTGTATTTGCTCCTTGTGAAATAGAAATTATTGTTAAAGAAAGTAAAAATCTACATGCCCGAGCTGTTTAAATTAGAAAAGGAAAAGTTTAGCAAAGCAGACAATGAGCATCAGTGAACTTATCTCTGCTTATTCGAGTTTACTTTTAACTATCTAAACATTAGAAAAATTACCATTACCGACCATCCTTGAAGGAAAAAAGGGAGAGAGTGAATGACCAAAGAATTAGTTTTAAACATTTTGCGAGAGTATTTAAATGGAGAAATAAAAAGACCTAAAAAAAGACATGGGAAACGGGAGGTTTTTATTGAAGAAAATGTTCCTTACGGAGATAAAGATTACTTGCTAGTTTTCTGATTTGAGGATAATAATTCAGACTGATTATGAGTGAGGAACTGTTATCCAATTAGTTAAAATAACGAGGAGACTTCTTGGCAAGGTTAGGTTAAACCCTATTGTTTTCAGTTGCTAGAAGTAAAATAACTTAATATGGTAAGTAGTAAGAAGCAAACTAATTCAGTAATAGACAACAGCAAGAATTTTCAAGTAATTACTCATAGTCTTTATTTAGTTGCTAACCCAAAAACCGGAAAGATAGAGCAAGTATGCCGAACAGAGAAAGGAAAAACCAAATAGGCGAAAGGTTATTTATTTACTTAATCACTACCTTTTATTACCGCTTTCGGAAGTTGAAAGGTTGAGAATACGGAAAACTTAAACATGAGCCAACACTTAGGTTTGGTGGTTATTATTTAGAAGACTTTTACTTCAATGAAGAGACTAAACGAACAGAAATCAGACAAGGTTTTCACAATCGAGAACCTTTATTAGTTATTGGTGATAATTTTCCAGTTCTCACCAGCACCATTTACTTAAACGAATTATTCCTTTATCGTCAATTAGGACTAAGGCATTATTACGAAGAAAAAGCCCGTTTTGAAAAACACTTTGACTTTAAAGCTTTAATTCAGGTGTTAGCTCATGAGATAATTCATGTGATACTAACTGATTTTTATCCGGGGGAAGAGGAACATGGAGAATTACATAAAAAATTAGTTATAGAGATGGTGAAAACGATTGAGGCTTCTGCTGAATATGAAGAGCTGAAAAAGTTTTGGAAATAAAATATATTATACATAGTCATAAGTTTCATGGTTATGTTTTGATGTGTGCTAGTTAGTTTGAGATTGGGGTTTTGGTTGACCTTTTGTGTTTCCTAACTAGCCACCATGAGAACATATCTCAAAAATAAGAAACTAATATGGGGGGCTAAACCATATCGCTAAGAAGTTTGCGAATTGAGTAAGTTTGTGTTCCTTTTGGACTTAACAACCTGCGATGGTGGAACTGAAATTAGTAGTAAAAGAGCTGGCGAGAGTGGTAATGCGCTAGAAACACAATAAACAACCAAAGCGAAAGCTAGCTGATTTGTGCCAATGTCTTGTCGACAGGATACTTTATACGAATAGACAGTCTGCTACTAGGTTCCAGCAGAGTTAAAAAATGGAACTAAACCCCTTTCTTTTTTTTAGCCCAAGGGGCTTTTTTTTTAAAATAAGAAACTAATATAAAGGCACTTAGTCTTATTATGTAAGGGAATTAGTTGGATAGAGATAGAGGTGTGGAGAAAGAGGACAAAGAAACTAACCAAGTCTAGGACATTACAATCTAACTTCCTCAACCAAGTCTTATCCCAAGTTCTTTATTAACTCCTTCCACCGAAAACCTTGTAGTCTCTCCAATTCCTTAATCTCTGGTAAAGTTCATAAAAAAGCCTCAATGTCTTGGGTTAATCCACCATGACTTTTATCATGTTTATAACCAAATTGAAGTTTATAGTTAGCCATTAAGCAGTGGGCTAGTTCATGAGCAATAGTGTTAACCAATTTACGAAAGCCAAAGAGTTCGGCAAAGTTAGGAATATCACTCTTTAACCCTCCTAGGCAGTAAGCAAAAAGAATGTTTAAGTGAATTTCTTTGGTGTAGATAGTTAAGTTGCCTACTTCCTCTTTTCCTAATCTAGTCCTGCCATACCAATCATAAC